TATGCGGAGATACACGCATGTTGGCACGCCAGGGAGAACGCGTGCTGCGCGCCCTGCGGTGCGGGGCCGCGTCCCGCCCGCCCCTCCGCGGCACCGGGGCCTGGGGGCTCCCGGGGGTGAGGGAGGGACGGGGCGGGTCGTGAGGGGCTTTCTGACAACCCGTGCGGGCCCTGGGGGAGGAGAGCCGAGCGGATCCTTGTGCAATTTTCCCCACTTCCTTTATCAGGTGACTGATTAGTGCTCTGTTTATTTGGGGTTTGGTGGGGGTTTTTTTTGTTTTGTTTTTTAAGTGGTGGTGGTGTTGTTTTTTAAATTTGACTTTCCTAACGCCTGTGTTGGATGTTATCCCTCAAATGGCAACCGGGAGTGACAGAATCTTCCTCCCCCCCAGAGCTTAACGAGTTAAACGTCCCCTCTCTCCAAGCGGGCCTGCATCTCACCGGGGTCTGGATTGCCTTGCTCGATGCTTATCGCTCAGTCTTTTTTGTAGCTGATACAAGATAGCTTCTCCTTCTATGTGTGTTTTCATACAGATATGTATTTTACAGCTTCGTTACACATTACCCCCTTTTTTGGGAGTCATCAGTGAAAGAACTGAAAGGGAATAAAAGTAACTGCTCCAGTGTAGTGTTTGAGAACATAGTAAGTATTCAGGGAACTAAAGTATTTTAGTCAGTGGGAAGGGACGGGGCGGGTCGTGAGGGGCTTCCTGACAACCCGTGCGGGCCCTGGGGGAGGAGAGCCGAGCGGATCCTTGTGCAATTTTCCCCACTTCCTTTATCAGGTGACTGATTAGTGCTCTGTTTATTTGGGGTTTGGTGGGGGTTTTTTTTGTTTTGTTTTTTAAGTGGTGGTGGTGTTGTTTTTTAAATTTGACTTTCCTAACGCCTGTGTTGGATGTTATCCCTCAAATGGCACTCTCTCCAAGCGGGCCTGCATCTCACCGGGGTCTGGATTGCCTTGCTCGATGCTTATCGCTCAGTCTTTTTTGTAGCTGATACAAGATAGCTTCTCCTTCTATGTGTGTTTTCATACAGATATGTATTTTACAGCTTCGTTACACATTACCCCCTTTTTTGGGAGTCATCAGTGAAAGAACTGAAAGGGAATAAAAGTAACTGCTCCAGTGTAGTGTTTGAGAACATAGTAAGTATTCAGGGAACTAAAGTATTTTAGTCAGTGGGATGGCAGCGTTAAATGCAAACAAACTGGAATTTCCTGATGCCTAAATTGTTCTCCTTTTTTTTTTTTTTTTTTTTTTTTCTCCTATTTTTCCTTCCCTGTTTTGTTTGGATGAACTCTTTCAGGTACAGAAAAAAATGAAGAGGAGTAAAGAGTGTTATCTGAAACTTTTGAGTGTAGCACAACCAGAACTTTATTTTGTGTCTCTGTACATCTTCTTTGCATTAATTACTTCATCCCTTCTGTCTGTAAGGGTCACAAGTTCCTGAAACACTTTTAAGCCATCAGCAAATTAATTAGTTGTGTTGTACTCTTAGGCAACATTTTTTTCACATTATTATCAACTTGGGTTGATGTGTACCTCTTGGTGCTGTGAAACTTCGAGTATACTCCTGCCTTTCTTCAGAATGGGGGCTTAAACTCAACTTTAGGGTTCGTTAGGTCTTTGGAGATTTTTTAAAAACACTTCAGTCGTTGTCCAGTTTATGGTGGGAATCAGTCAAAATCGTTGCTTAGAATTACTTTTCTACTAACTCTTATCCTTAGAGCCCTTTTAGAGCTGTTTGGAAAGCCTAGATGCTATTTAGACTGTCAGCAAAGAAATTGCAATATTCATGTAGAAGTAAACTTTCAAAATTATATGTTAAGAAGGAGGAAAAGTGACCAGAAATGTTTAAAAAAACCCAAGCAAAGCACCAACGAGACCCCACCCTTTATGGAATAACCGTAACAGAAAAGCTTGGTGGGGGTTTTCTTGTTATTTGGTGGGGGGGTTTTTTTGTTTGTTTTCTTTTTTACAGTGTTTGGTAAATGGTGGTAAGAGATGTTTACATGCGTTTTGCCCTTTACTTCTACGATTTAAAGTGGTGTGTTTTGGTAAACAGTGGTAGCTTAAGGATTTAGGAGTGACTCGACTTGCAGAGTGAACACTGTTAGATCTCTGCTGACAACTATACTGGGAATGGGAAACACTTTTTCAGTGTAGAATTTGCAAGTCAACAACTAATAAAAATATATAAGACTTTTGAAAATGAAAACAGAAATCTTTCAAGTAGTTATCAGGTTAACCGTTTTTAACAATAGGCAGGGAACTGTCAAGCAGTAAAAAAGCAGCCTGAGGCACTGCTTATCTGACCTCGGTATCTGAGCAGCATTTGGTCCTACTTTTCCTCCACCCCCAGAGACAGCTTTTTTTGTTTTAGTAGACAAAAGTTAGATCTGATTACTTAAATTAATGCTAATATCAGTATTAATGCTGGCATAGAAGTGAATGGCTAGGGCAAATAATTTGAAGTTGGTAATGATGCCCTCACTACCTCAAGGTGAAAATGCTTAAGAAAAAGCTTGAACTCACTGAAATAGCAGTGCATTAAGCATGATTTGGGAGCATTTCTGCAAAAACATTTAAGGTAGTCGGGTCTCAGCCAATGCTCTAAAGTAGTCATAAGATGAGCTTTGAGTTTTAGGACAGTTTGTGAATCCTTCTTAGCCGACTGTAGGTTGCTCAGCTTTGTGAAGTGTTTTATAACTGGAACATGCCAGAACTGCTGACATGACCTGTGTGATACAGTATCTCCTGATTGAGGGTATCTCTTCTTCTTAATATTGTTCCCTTAGCGGTTTCCTAATATCAGTATGTAAAGTTGAAGCAAAGCACCCGCCAGGCATTATTGCAACACAGTAAGATGGGAGGAAACACTTACAGTCAAAAGATGTATCAGGTGGGAAGAGCTCAATTTTTTTTTTTCCTAAAGGTGTTTCTAAAGTGAGCTGTCCTGGGTCTTTCAGTTACAGCTGTACCAAGGCAAAAAGCAAATTCTTGAGTGGTTAACTTCTTTCTTCTGAAGAAACATACTAATTGTAATAAATTACATTCTTACTCAGGTATTTATCTTATTTCTTCTAGAAGCAGATCAGCGTGTGTCAGTTCATCATTATCAGTTGTAGCAAATGTTTCTGCATGGGTATCTTTCAGTGTGTACTCTATTGAAGGAATATATTTGGCAAAATCAAGTAATGACTTGCACATGAAAAGTGGAATAGTATATTTTTAAGACTTTGGTATTTAAGGGAGGAGATATGATGCTCAGCTGGTAAATTAGGTGCCGTTTGTATAAGAGGAACGAACTTGTACAGATGTGATCGTTGTTAGAAAGATCATTTGCAGCTTTGGCAGGAACTGTGTGTGCATGCACTTGTCATCCAGCCACATGGTTTGTCTTTCCCACTCTCTGGATGGCTTTGATTTGTGAGCATGAGGGAGTAGAGATGTGTGTCTTCTTGAAAGCAAGGAAGGTAGTCTTTATGTTATAGTTTTGAACGCCATCTTTCAGAAAAGGTATATGTTTTAGTAATTCAGTATTCCCTTAGTACAAGAAATAAGCAACAGTATAATTTGAATCTAGGAGGAGTGCTGTAAATTAAGTACTATACTCTCTTGGTATTTTTTTTTCCCCTCTCCATTACATATAAATATGTATTTATCCAGGTAAAATAAACCACTATGTCTTAATTTCTAAAGCAACACAAGGTGCCACTATAGTTTTTAAGATTGGACTTGTGCTATAAAGGATACCGTAGCAATGTTTCATATTACTTTATCTCAAATTACCTATGCCTTTTTTGCTATATCAAAACATATAAAACCTTTTTAGTGTTGAAATGGCTGATTAATATTTTTTTCTCCTATTTAGAACCATGATACCAGGTACTTTACTAGTAATGGAAATGTAAATATATGCGTTTGTTTTGCATGTGTGTATATGTACATTTGAGAATGGAAACGGAATATGAAGTTGCAGCTTTCCAAAGTAAGAATTATCTTGTGATTGGTTTCCCATATACCTAGTTTCTGAAAATGCCCAGAAATGGCATGTCAAATGGCTATCGAATGGCATTTAAGTGGGATGCAGCTTGACATTGTAGCTAAAGCAACCTTGATGGTTCAATGAAGATGAGGAAGACAACCCTGCCTTTAGCTGTGGGTTCCCGCCATTTCTTGTCTCCAACAAACAAGCAGAGAAAGATCAAATGCTCTGGTTTTTGAAGGTTCATCTTTTTGTTGGTTTAGCTCTGTGACTTGGCTTGCTGCAAGGCTGGGTCAACTCGTTTCAAGCTAAAGGGGGGTAGCAGAAATGCAGGGGGATGGAAGAGAGGCTGCAGCCTACAGAAATGCTTTGCTGTTGGGTTAATTTGGCTCTGCTGTAAGATGTCACCTGTGTTGGTAAAGAGTGATTGTGTTCTAAGTTTGTGGCTAGGTCAGTCTGCATAATTTGATATGCCCTGGCCTGGCTGTTTCCAAAGCTTGGATTTTAGAGGTATGTATACTTCAATATGTCCTGTATGAGAATAGAAAGGAAAACAAGCAAAATTAATGAGGGTGTGTGTGTGGTTGTGTAGGGATTTCCTGCTTGTATTGAAATATATTTGTTTTAGGTTTCAGTTTTAGGAAAACATGGCTGAATTATTTTAATTTTTAAAGGCTAAGAGAAAAGGGGGAGGTAATTTAAATGAATAGTAGCTTAAAAAGTGTGTCTGTAAAACAAGAAATCCTTTCTTGGAGAGAAAAAAACCAACAAAATATGTTTAAATAAAATATGCTTTTAAATTGTGAGTCTGATTGCTGACTCAGTGTAACAAGTGAGCTTTGAGTAAGGTCTGGTCAGTTGTACGTTAATGCAATTGAAATTGATCACGACTAAACCTTTCAAAAGGAGAAATTTAAGTGTCTAACTTTAGAAGGTGCTCGCATCAAGGGATGTTTTTTTTTTATTTATTTGTAGGTTGTCTTGGAATGGAGTAGAGACCAGTATCATGTTATGTTTGATTCGTACAGAGACAACGTTGCTGGCAAATCATTTCAGAATCGGTAAGTTTTATTTGCAGTTGACAGTATTGCACATTTTACTGTTCAATTAATTTTTAAGTATTTAAATCAAATATTCTAGATGAAGTAATACACTGTGAGTAGGAACCTGTTGTATGGGCTCTAAATCTGCAGCAAATTTTAAACTTGGTGGTTTTAAATTATGAGTTATTTCTTAATACTCCAGCTTGGGTGATGTTTGACGTTTGGCAGCTCTAGTTAAGTATCAGAGTTTACATTTTAAATGCATTTAATTAATCCAGTCTCTAATGAAACATCCAAATGGTGATAATGTTAACAATAAAGGGAGGACATGACATGTTTTTCGTATTAAGATACAAAAATATAAGTACTGTTCCTGGGTGTTTTAAAATTACAACTTTCAGTGTTTTGAAAAGTTATTTTTTATTTACCTTACATTTTTTTTTTCTGTGACTTCTCATGAGGGACATCGTTCAGTAGAGAAGTCACAAAGCTAGTAACAGCGGCTTTTTAAAGCTGAGTGCATGGAAGAAGTCAGTCACAGCAAGTTGGAAACCAAGTCATATGGGTCTTCTGTTTCAGTTGTGTTAACTGCCACATGACTTCTTGTGGTTTCATCATTCATGTGTGAATACTCGTGTGGTCTGTATCTGTTGCTCAGGAAGTCAGTGGACTGTGAATTGGTAGATGGAAGAAGCTACTAAGGAGATATCATCTGACTCTTAAGTGTTGATACCCTTAACTGCAAAAAAAAACCAACACCCTGAAAGTAGATGCTTAGTTTGCCTTGAGGTTTGTTGAATCATGGGACAGTAGAAATGATCAGATCAGCTTGTCACGCTTCAGCTGGTGCAAGACAACTCTGTAACAGTACATTGCATGTTGTCAGTGAATCTTGTACACTTTGTAGTTTCATCTCTTACCCCCCTTCCCATTTTCCAGAGGATGACAGGTGAAAGCAGATTGATACATCTCATATGAATAATAATCTTAATGTTTGTGTTTCTGCAGTGCTGAAGTGAAAGCATGGTAGTTTGCTCCTGCCAAGTATCACAAAGTCAGACATTTTAGTACTAAGTACAGTGCTTTTATAAAATGGTCGAGTTTGTCCAAAACAAAGTTGCACATCTTACTGTTGTGATGTAGATGTAGTCAGTTCCCATTTCTGTGGTGTGTTTCCTTTGTTTTGGTTGTGTAAAGCACTCCTTAGCTAGTGTTGATTTCTGGGAATTGTGAGCAAAACACCCAGTGCCTGAGGAGGAGCTATGAGCTGTCTCAGCTGAAGCTTAAGGTTTTCATGATGGATGCTTAAGTAATTCCAGTTCATCAAAATGCTGTTAATACTTTTGTGTTGGGTGTGACAGGCAGGGGTTTTTTTATATTTGTGTGCAGATACCAGTTTCCTGTAAAAATTTATACCAACCAGAATTCTTTTCAGAAACATGCTTTTAGGCATCTTAACTTTTAGAAGTCCCTTGTCAGGAGTTCAATTCGGTTTTATTATCAAATTTCACAAATGCAGCATGGCCTTCTGAAAGTATTGATGGACCTTCAACTGAATTAAGTAGGAGCTTTGTAAGAAAATATCTCTGTTCTTGTCAAACAGTTGTGTTATAAACTTACATAAAGAAAACCTCAGTATAAAATACAGAAAATTTGTGCATGTGGGCAAGCTCCTTATGATCATAAGCTCAAAAAACTCTTCCTCATGAGTAATGTAAAACCAGTTATGTTGCTGTCATCATTAGTTCACCTATTGAATGCTGTTCTCTGCCAGACCAAGGAAGCCTTCTTGTTTTACCTTAAAGTTTAGCAATTGCTTTGGTTTGCTTTTCCCTCCTGTCACATGTTCGTTGGCATCCCAGCTCTTGCTCTTTCCAGGTAGTCATGTCAGCTGCTAAGCTTCCATTGCCTAGACTCTGACACAACTTGGGACAGTAGAGTAGAAATACTAGGGCTTTTTACCAAACTACCTCATCCCAACCCATTTTTGAAGACTAAGTTAGTTTTGATATGAGAACAAAAAAGAGAGGAGGAAACCTAAGTAATGGAGTAGCATGCATGTGTGTCTTGGACAAAACCAGTATTTTAATACTTTCCACCAGCAAATCCTGTATTTTGGCAAATGCTGAAGTGTAATTTCTCCATTCCAAGACATAGCCAAATCATATTTCAAATTCCAAAATATGAATGGAAACAAAATGTTAAGGAACAATTCCCAGACAGACTAATTTCAGTATGATACAGTAGGTGACAGCCATTAGTGGTTGAGGAGCCATTAATCATTGAGCAGAGTGAGGCTGCAGAGAGAAAAAGGCTCACAAATTAGGGAGCCAGGAGTACTCGAGTGGGAATAGCAGTGGAACAGCTGAGTTGCTGTTTGTGGGTAATTACAGAGATGTAACAAGCAGGAGGGCTGGGAGGTTGACAGTGGGGAGCTAAAGGACATAATACACTTGTTCATAAAGAGGCTTAGCAAGTTTGGAAATCACAGTATGGTAGCCTGGGAGAGATCCAGAGGCTGCTGCACTCCTTCAGCAACCCTGGATGCTGAGACAGTTAGGCCTTGTCTTCTAGCTACAGTATCAGCTGTGAGCATGGCTCCAGTGTGTAAACAAATGTCATGGGCATGGAAAATGCTTCCCAACAGGTGCATAGAAGAGGCAGCATTTGACAGGTCTCCTGTCCTATCTGGGAGGCTGGTGGCACTGCCTTTGTTTTCAAGCAGGATCCCATAGATGTTTTTAGGTTTGCAAGTAAAAAAGGAGTAAGTGTTTGAAAGAGGAAAATGCAAAGGAGTATCCAAAACAAGCTTCAGCTTTTTAATTGTCTGTGAGTCTCCAAAAAGGTTTCCAAAGTCTGTTTTTGCTGACATGAAAATCAGAGAGTTTCTGTAGAAAGGTGTAACACAACTCCAATTTAGGCTGCTTGTCTTAAGCTCAATCTGTTTGCCAGACTGGTATTTGTGATGAAGACCAAATGTATAAATCCACATGAAGGAGAGAAACGTAGGTACAGAATTTGAGGGAGAAAGCTTTTGGTCTCTTATGACCTTAAGAAATTCACAAAAGACTCTGCATATTAAAAATAGTGTTGCAGAAGTTTAATGCAGGAGTGGTCCTTCTGTTCCTTTTTAATTTTAAAACAAAATGCCACTACATGCTTTTCAAAATATAAACTCTCAGTGCTTTATAGGAAGTCATGAAACCAATCAGAAAGCTTTGGCAAAGACCAAAAAGGTGAAAAGATCTTAACAGTGTCACTGATCCTAATTGGGAGCAGCAAATTAATTTGTGTATGATACCTGTTTTTTATTATAATATTTGATAACCACTATTTTCTCAAACAATGTATGCTGCAGAAATGCATTAAGAAAATTTATCCACGCAATTAGACTAGTGAATCTGCAAACAGTTAATTTGCTTTAATAGCCTTTTATTCTTTGTATCTGTTGCCACTGTTAATAAAGAATGAGCTTGCTGTTTAATTTGGAGTTAATTCAGAGTTGACATACCCGTACCTGACCAAAAAATGCCTTTCCTCGTTGCAGTTTATTAGCATTTGGTTTCATTTCATTGTGACATCATTTCAGTGCTAAAAATCAAGTGTAGCTAATAACATAGTTACATGTGCTGTTGCACACAAACACGCTTTTAGCAAGTTATAACTTGGGGAGAGGCTTCACAGAAGTAGAAATTGTCTCATACCCTATAAAGAGTTGGAGTTAAGGGGCCTTTTTTGACATTTTATGTTTGTGAAGCCTGGGTAAATAAACTCTGCACTTTGCCCAGAAGACTGAGGGTTGGGCATCCTTTAAATCAGCTGACTTTGGTTAGGTGCTTCCACCTAAAACACTCTTTCTGTAGCTTTTAAGGGGCTGTAAATCAAATAATTTACCTGATTACAACAAATGTAGAAAATGCGGAGGAGCTTCTCTGTCATTGAATTTCTGCTCCTGCGGAGAACTTTTCAGTTCAAAACCTGCTTTGAGTTGCACCTGTAAATGAGCCAGAAGCTAGTTGTCATCTCCTGAGAAAGGTGAAATAACTGATTAAAATGATAGTTTTATTTGGTAAATTGACTTTTGGTAGTTGAGAGGGTAACCTCCTGCAGTGTTGCATGTCAGAAGTGGGACAGACTTTGAGTGGTGCTGCTGGAAGGCAGTGCTTCTTCCCAGATGTTCAGACTGTCTCAGAATGACCCACCATTATCCTTTAAGTGTCTTTAGCCCAGTTAGGAACAGTACTTAACTGAGAATGCAATGTTTCTTTTCATTGTGCTGTGGACAGCTAGTGGCTGCCATTTTACCAAATTTTGTCCTTCTACTATTGAGTCTGAGCCAGTAGAAAATGTAGCTGAGTGCAAGTTGTCTGCATGGCACACTGTGCAAGGGAGGCTGAAGGACATACTTCCCTATAAGCTCTGTCTCTTTCAAAATGGTTTCTGAGTGATGCAGTGGGTGGGGAAGGAACACCTTTCCTTGGAAAACTCATTGTGTGACCCATGGATTTTATCATTTAAGAAGTGCTCAGTGTTTGCTAGGCCAGCTACAGTTTAGGAAAGTATTGAATATCTTGACACTGGAACTTCTGAAAATAATAGTCAGGGCATCCTTCTGCTCTCTGGGACAGAGAAGTTCACCTATGGCAGCAGCCTGGAGTACCTACTGAAGCAAAGCTGTGGGCCTCAGAGAGGAGATTATAATAAACAATTAGGAGAAAGGTACCCAGCTCCTTGTCTTTTCTTTTGCTTCAGGTATTCTAGGAAATATGTAACTGCCCAGAAACAGCTCCCAAGATACTAAATTATGTCAAGAATGAATTTGACCACTGTCTAGAGTCTGAATTAATGTACTCAGATTGTTTATTTATAAAATGCCCTGTATCTAAGAGACACTCCTGTGATAGAGATCTGGTCTTGCTAAGATCTTGCTGTCTTTGTGCAATTAAACAGCAAGTATGATTTAAGTCTTTTTATTTCATGCTGTCCTGTCTAATGTAGTTGGTGAATTGAGGATGTGACTGGATACTGGTACTGATTTGAGAAATATTTAATGTGTTGAAAGGAATTGGGCTCTAGGTTATTGTCAGTGAAATTTAGAGCATAAAGTTCAGATTTTGTTTAGTTACTGAACTGTTACAGCCACTGTATGTCCCTTCTGGTCTTATGTCTGTGCCATTTTTTTCAAAGGCTTGTGTGTAATTAAGAGATTATATAGTTGAAGAGAAGCTTTTTACTTTGTCTTGTTTGCAGCCCAGACACCAAGTTTCTCTGTTGTTAGACAGAAATTGCTATTGTAGGATGCCAGAAACACTTGTAATGTAATATTGAAGAGCTCATGTAGCTTTCATTTGAATTATATAGGCTTTGTTTACCCATGCCGATTGATGTGGTATACACCTGGGTGAATGGCACAGATGTTGAACTGATCAAAGAATTGCAACAGGTCAGAGAACAGATGGAGGAAGAACAGAAAATAATGAGGTAATAATTGTATGGTTTTTTTCCCTTTAACCAACAGCAGCAGGACGCTCTTATTCTGCCATGTTACTCAACTTGAAAATTCAAAGTGCGTTTTATCACTTCTTCATTTTATTTTTCTCAAAAACCTTCTTTCAGTTCTTAATTTATCTATAAAGTAGTGTCTAATCAGGAAACTGTTGAAGAAACAAAGCATAATAATTCAAAGTCATTAAGTCAGTTCTGTCTTAAATTTATAAAATGCCATGCAGAAAATTGTGATTTGTGTAGGTAATTTTGTATTGATTTCTATCACTCAATTTATAAATAAAAATAAAACTGTATCTCAGCTCTCTTCATTCACCTCTTTGTCCCTCAGTATTTCTTTTAATGATAGTTGTAATAAAATCTTAAGCATATGTTTCTTAAAGGCTCCTTTTTAATGTTTCATTTGTAGTCTTCTAAACACTGAAACTGAGAAAGAGGAAACTAATGTAATAATCTTATACATTTATAACGTAATCTTGTAATCTCATAACATCTTTACTAACTAAGGAGAGAAAGACATGTATTGCTTCAAACACAGGCAGCTGCAGATACCTGGGTTTGTGTCTTACAACCATTGATTCTTAGTATACAACTCTGTGGTTGAGTGATCTGTTTTGGCCAGAAAATATTCTAAAGAGAGTAACAAGTTTGGAGAGTAGTAATAGTTTAATTTGGAATAATCTGAAGTCCATAAGTGAGTGGATTGATCTGATTTTTGGCATGTTCTGACTTGCAGTTGAGCTACCACTGCCAGCATGATCACAAGATGAATTCTGTATCTTTATTTTGCTACCTAAACAATTAAAGTATTTGTGGAACTTTAAATCCATTAAGTTTAAATGCCTTAAAAAGAGACACGGTATCTGCTCTGAAAAGCTTTAAAATTTATACTAATCTTTCTCCAGCAGTTCACATAACAAATGTTAATGGTTTTAGCTTTGTCATCACTTGTGCTGCAATTCCCGCAGCATGTTGAAAAACACATTTTTTTTCCATAACACTGATTTGTAAAGTTGATATCAAGCTTGTGAGTAAGACTCATGTCCGTGCCACATTCATTATCTACAGGGGCACCTTGTCCTCTCCCTTGTAGATAACTTTTTTCACATACTTGAAATCATTTAGCACCATTACAAAAAAAAGAGCTGTTTTTTCTGGGGTCAAGATAACCGCAGAAGGCAGAGGCAAGGATGCTGTAAACTCTGCTAACAAGTGTATGTTTTGTACTGCATAGAAAAAAGTTACTAAGTTGTAACTTTCTTGTTGACAAGCCTGAACTGAGCTATTCATCATCCAGGCACTTTATTCTTCAGCAGTAGAAAGTAGTTTGACAGATGGTGGTTCTCTTAGGGTGTGTATAGAAGGATGTGTACCCTTCTGATATTACTATGATTATTATTTAACATCAGCACTGCACTACCTTTACATTAATACTCATTAGCTTCTAATGTGCACATGACAAATACATTATAGACTTTATCAGAATATGTATGTTAGACAAAACTATGAAGTCCACCTAGTTTCAGGTCACTTTATCCTGGTTTTTTTTCAGTGTTTCCGTATCAACATCAGTTTCTTTAATCTCAAAAGAACCCCCGAAAATCCTGTTAGCAGAAAGAATCCTGCTGCCACAGCTGTCAGCACAACTAAGAATTTTTGAACTACACTGCATGAGGGTGAGCGGTGGGGGGCACATGGGTCAGCCTTTGCTTGCCTTGGCAGTTTTATAACTGGGTTATTGGAGCTTTCACTACACGTCCCTGACTCAATTAACAGTCTGAAATTAGATTAAATTCCATATTGTAAACTCAGTGTTATTTAATGTAGTTGTTTTAATTTTGTAACAGGGAAATCCTTGGAAAGAATGCAACAGAACCAACAAAGAAGAGGTGAGTTTTTGTGGATTTGGGCACAAATTGGAATAAATTTATATCCTGCTTGTTACCTGAAAGCAGATGCTGGCTGGGGAGTTTGTTTGGTTTTCTTTAGCCTGTGCACACTTTGCTTCTGTGTCGCTTCAAGAGAAGTTGACCACATGGTGATATGTATGTTTGAAGAAAAGTAATTTTAATGTGACATTTATGAATGAGATTTTAAAATGTGACAATTTTGAAGTTCCAAAAGCATATCGTGGTCACTGGTTAGGCAATAGTTACTTTTCTGAGTATGGGTTCTTAATACATATGTACCTGGAGTTTTATAATTCAAAAACATGAATATTTTTTAACATTGCTTTCACCTTCCTTTGCATACATGGCACTGTAAATAATTATCTGTGGAGGAGCCAAGCCTCTTGTGCCTCCGCAGCCAAGAAGTGGCAGGGCAGCGTCTGTCCCCATACTTCGGTTGCCTTGGTTGTTCTGAGATCTTTATAAGGTCTCCTCTATGGACAAATCTTGAAATCTTGGAAACTTGGAAAAACAATTGTGGGAATGAACTGAACTCTAACAGTCAGATATTCACCTTCTGCAGCAAGATAATCATGCTCTTAGTAATTTTTCTCTGTCCCAGCAGATGGTGGAAAAAATGTATCAGATTTTACAAGAACATCTCTCATTGCATCTAACATCAATTATTGTCTTAAATTTCCTACTAGTTTTAAATATACCTTTGGTATTTTGCTGTAGTGAGAAGCAACTGGAGTGTTTGTTGACACACTGCATCAAAGTGCCAATGCTTGTCTTGGATCCTGCACTGCCTACCAACGTGACACTGAAAGACCTGCTGTCCATTCATCCTGCTTTACAAGCTGCTAACAACATGTTCTTTGTAGCAAAACCAAAAAATCCTTCTACCAATGTGACAGTAATTGTTTTTGATAGCCCTAAGGATGGTAAGTACCTGTTTGTCAGATTTCAGCCACATTTCTAGAGGAAAATTTTTAGTAAGCTACTGTGAATAAGGTTGGGGTTTTTCCCCTCCAGTATTGCCTTTGCCACTAATGTTCTGTTTGACTTGAGCAAGTGTCTCTCGCCCACAGTCTGATCCTCTAAATGATAACATTAATGGTACTGTTTGCTTACCTGCCAGACAACTGATTACAGATGATTAGAGTTCCATGCTTTAAAACACTATTGAATAACAGGTTTGATACCTGGTTATCTGTGTTTCACTCTTAATGTTAAGAGACTGAGGTTTGGACTGAGGAAGATCAGTTTTGGAGATCCTCTTTTAATTGCTGTGAAGTCTAATTTGAATGTTGTGCATTAAGTTTTGCCCTTGCTTAAAGGATTGCATACCTTAAAACAAAATTATTCATGTGTTCAGCATATATAAGTAGGATTTTGGAGCAGGTATGAACTCCATACTTTGTTTAATATGTAATGCCCTCCCACTAGCCCAACCTCTGTTTTTTATTTTACCACCAGTAATCATTTACCAGTTATAAAGACAACTCTTCACACCATAAGTATCCAAATCTTTTTAATTTGCAAAAGTATATCTTTGTTACCAGATTATACAAAAGAAGTGAGTTTCAGTTTTTGATTTGCAATGCGTTTTATTTGTTCTAGTTGAAGCTGCCCATTCTGGAATGTTAAAAGACAACAGCAAACAGATAGTATGGAGGGGTTACTTGGTATGTATTTTTAAAATCTGTTGATTAGCTTTTGTGTATTATAAACTTTTTGTACTTTTTTAGGAAGTGCTTCCGTGTTCTTCTCTTTCCATAACTCATAACTAACAAGAAGTGAAAGCTTTTTAAATAACCCTAATTTCTATTTTGAAGTTTGGGTAACGTGACAAAATTTACACTATTAAATCTGTCACCTGATGAAGAATTGACAGATAAATGTGAGTTACTGTGAATTTTAAAATGTCTCTAAACCCCATTTGCTTGTTTTTAGACTACAGACAAAGAAGTTCCAGGTCTAGTATTAATGCAAGACTTGGCCTTTCTTAGTGGATTTCCAGCTACATTCAAAGAAACAAATCAGCTACGAACAAAACTACCGGAGAGCCTGTCTTCTAAAGTAAAACTGGTAAGGGTCTGGAGGAAACAATAACTTAGTTGTATCGTTTATTTGTTCATATGGGGGATCTCACCCATCTTGGAGACTGAGGATGTTTCCAATAATAATGTTTTCCTGTGTGACTGTTTTCCTGAGTTGTGAAGAGTAGTAAATGCTCAAATAGTTACTTAGGCGTTAGGTCTGCTAGTCTGCAGCTGATTAAAAAGTACCTGCCTTATCAGTGTCTCTCAGCCATTTGCTATAGGCTGCTGTTTTGCTGATGTATACTACAGTACTGGCTTGTTTGATGTGACAGAACTTTGTTTATATAGCTTCTTAGTTTTCTTCTTCCCTTTTTGCTTTTAGAAGATTTATCTTACTAGTAACAACACTGTTCAAGTTTCACAACTTGAATGCTTTGTTTCTCTCTGCCGAGTACTCTCTATGGACCTGAGGAAGTTGTGCTTCAACTTACCTGCAGGGCAACAGTAGATCCATTGATATTTTGTGCCTTCCATTCTCCTCTGCCATTTGGACTCTTCCAGTTACAGCCAGGTTTAACAGATAGGTAAAAAGTTTCAAAAGCCTGCGAAAATCATTGGCTTATATTGGAGAGAGGTGTGATTGGTGGTGCGAAGAGGGCAGAGGGCTGAGGCCAGGAGGCTTGTGGAGGACAAGGAGTTAGCACCAATAAAGGGATGCCAGTCTGTAGGGAATCTGTCTTCAGTAGTCTGATGTTCACCTATATGATTTGTTAATTCACTTCATGGCTTGTTCTTGCTGCTTGAATGAACATGACTTCGTTTTCTTGTTGGTTTTTTTTTGTTTTTTTGGCAGGCTGAGTTAACAAATCATATATTCTGCTATTGCAGAAACTATATTGTGTAACCACTTCCACAGGCTGGTCACACTCCAACTTAATGCAAGCTGACTTTCTTCTTTCTTGTCTTGACTTGTGTTAAAGGCTGTCTTAAAATCTCAATAGTGGTAGAAGACTTCCAAAGTAAAACACATCTGTACCTCTCTTCCTACACCTGCTTAAACAGCTTAATAGAGCTCTGAGACACTTATTTAAAGTTAAATAGCTGTTTTCTTTTGCCTTTGTTTACATCCCTTATGTATGCCGAGTGGCTGTCTTTTTTACTAATTTAATCAGGCAGTGCTCATCCCACAGCATTGCCTCTCCATTCCTGTCATCCTTCTGACAGCCCTTCCCTGCTGCTTCCATTGTGGATTTGTCTGCCTTCAACATGATTGACTTGGAGTTCTGTATGACATTTTAAACAAGGCATCACCAGAACTCTACACAGTAAAAAATACTTAGTAAATAGCTAGAGCCTGTGGACTTGCTACATTCTAGCTTATGCTCATTGCAAACAGTGCTGCCACTGTTTCTACATGACCTCACTTACATCCTTCCACTGCTGTGTATGGGTGCTGTTCATAAAAAATGTCTCTTGCTATCATGAATGTGTGGCTAGTTTTGAATGAGTGATGGCAGGCATGCTCTGGTGTAGCCAAGGCACCTTTCCGTTTCCTTCTTGGTAACACATTAGTTAAAGAGCAGTGGCTATATGTATGGTCCATCTGCCACTCTCTGCTTGTTTTAAGTGCTATGGGTTTGTTTGTTTTTTAATTCCTTTAAATAAGTGGTGCTTACTGTAGAGAAATGAAATTGTTATCTAACAGGAAGTGGTACTTCAGTTTTGCTGTCTGATGGTAGGTTCGTAATTTAAAGTTTACATGAGGAACGCTGTTGGTTGAATGCCTCCTGACTGAGCCATATCAAGGATCTTAACTGAGTGCAGGTTCATCCATTTGGGTTTGGAGGCTTTTCTAGTTCCTCAGATAGCTTAAATAAGTGCCTGGTAGTTTTAATACATTTGACTTAATGGAGCTGAAGAGCTCAGAGTACCTTTGACTTCAATTACCAGCTCTTTTCTTTTGTTTAACTTGCCCTTTAGCATTAAAGAAATTTAGTAACAAGATGGTCCTTAATTATTTTTTTCTCTTTCAATTTAAAATCAATTAGCTTATGTTTTTCTGACCTAGGGTTTTTCTCTAGGAGCAGCTCTTCTGTAACATTCTCATTAATTACCAGATTGGTATCTGAAGAAATATTGCTTCTAGCAGTTCAGAGATTATTTGATGTAAAAGAGATCTGTCTGCTTCTACTTCTGGGAATATATTGGAACACCATCCTGGGCAATATTTGTTCTCTAGTTGAACGTTGTAGATGAAAGCTCTCATAGTAACATATCTGAGGAATGGTCCCCCCTCAACAAATATTTGAAATTTCATTCTCTGAGCATATGTTGCTTTATGCTCTTTTTCCAGAATGATTTTGACTTAAATCAGTTCTTCTATCCATAGAACCCAACTTTTTTTTCTTTTTTTTTCCCGCAAGTTCTTGTGCCTTGTGTCGTTATCACATGGTGGTCCTTTGTCAGAGTAATATTTTGTCTTTCTTCAACCCTCCAGCATTTTCCTGTCCTTGATGTTCAGCCACATTCTATTCTTCCCTCTGGTGTCTGGTATCATGGCTTCTACTAGTATTTTTGCTGCTAAAATATATTTATTTTATTATAAGAATACTTGTGGGTTTTTTCTGTTGTTGTGTTGTTTTATTGGGTTTTTTTTCCTTATTTCCTAGCTCTCCCTAAGCACATTCTAGCTTTATTAGTCGTGGTTATTTCTCTAATTGCATTGTCTAACTGTTCTTCAAGTCACTGTTGATGCTTTTTCTCCTTAATGCTGCTGTGTGGATTTTTGCTTCCAGCATTGAGAACTTGTCTGTCAAGACACAGACCTTAGACTAGCCTATGTCTCTTGTGCTATAATAGAGACCTTCCATCTATACCTTTAAAGAATGAAACACCCAGATTTCTTCTAATTACTTTTGAGCCATCTGCTGTTTTTTATTATCTTCTGATTTTAAGACTTGTGGAGTAATTCTGCCCGAGCCTATTTTTTTTTTTATTGCAGTAATCTTTTTTCTGTTTCATCAGATGATCCCTTTCATAATCTTTTCTTCTGTTCCACTTGGTTCTCCTAGCAGTACTAGTCCAACAAAAACCATGATGGATGCATTGTTTCTGTGCTTCAGTTCTGCTTCTCATATTCAAGCAGCTGGCTAATCTGTTGTCTGTATCCAAGCTGATCACTTGGTTAACTGTAGCAAAACTTAAAAATGCCATAGTTTCTCTGTGGTTTTGGATTACTGTCCAGATCAACATAAAGGCTGCATCTCTGGGATGTCTTAGATACATCTCCCATATCCTTGTCTGTTTTTATGGAAGTAACATTCTGTGGCTGTTACCTTTCTACTAAATTTTTCCTTATTCTTTCTTGGTTGTATGTTTCTTCTTGTCAGTTGTGTCATCCAGTTTATGACAGTTCTTTCTGTTGGTGCTGCTTCTCTTCTTGTGTTCTTATCTTTGTGTAAACATTACTATTGTGATAGGGTCATTATTTGTCCCTAAAAGCTCCTCTTCTGCAGTTTGGTTAGGCACATCTCTTTATAAACACATTTTTTTTTCTCAGGTATTCACAACATTCTGCAGTATCTTCATCCAGCCATTACTGTCTGTGTTTCTTTTCCTGATGGTGGTTGCTTTAGAACAATTCAATTGGGATTATTGTACTCTGTGTGGTCGTAGCTGCAGATTCTTTCCCAACCAGTTTTCTGCTCTTGATAGCACCAGTTTCTTCATGTTCTACATACAATGGAATATATGTATATATAGATAGATATATGTAAGATGTGTTTTATTTACAAAGATAAAAAGTTTAGGTAAGAAGCATGGATGAGGTCGTTTCCATAGCAGCATTTCCTAAGGTCCTAGCTCAGAATCAGTTTTTCATTCAATGGATGTTGTAGGTAGGCAGATACAGTAAACGTAACAAAATGTGGCTTTCTTCTTATCAAAGAGAGATGAAGTGACGCGAGATGCCTGGTAGAGAGGGAGAAAGTTGCACCTAAATTTAGGCTTGACTTGTGTCTCCTAGCCACCTCCTGATGCTTAATGGGTTTCTGCATGCTCTTGAGTGTTTGTTTTTTAGTGCAGTGCTGGAAGTAAAGAAATAATAATTGAAAAAACTCAAAAGTTAAGCTGCTATTAGAGAGGAAGAAAGGGGAGAAAGGGAGGAGTGCAGCTGTTGATGCATTTGTGTCCAGTGTTTCCAGTGCTGCTTTAATTGGATTGCCTTTGTTTGATTGAAATCACTTCTGAATCCAAAGAGGACCAAAAATTCCTCGACATCTGTGCCAGCTGTTACGTGTTCTAAAAACCTCTGAGAAAAGCAGCTGGGTTCAACTAGTGGGGATTAAATTGTGAAGATTGAGCACGTAGTGATTCACTTTGCAAGGTGAATTATGCATGTTGTGGTCTACTGAATTTTTGTACTTCTGGCCTTCAGTGTATGGTAAAGATATGGTATTTTATTTCCAATTGAAAGGTAAGCAGCAGTGTATCTACTGAGCACATCTGTTGTTCTAAGTTATGTGTGTTATGATAGATGCTTTTGAAAATTACACGGGGCTGCTTTTTATTTTCTATGCTTTCCTAACGGTGCATTAGCAAGCCACTAGATGGAGGTGTTACTCCGGTTGTGCAGTTGCCTGCTCCTAAGCGCATGTCTTTAAAGACTGGAAAATTGTTGCATTGTAAGCTATACACGACAACTGACTTTTTTCCTTTCACTTTTCCTTCTCCCTCCCTTACTAACATTTCTAAAGAAAATTATTGTTGTTACGCCTACAATAGCCACTTGTGACTTAAAAACTAGATAGTGATGTAAAGATTGACAAGAGAAGGATTGAAAAGGCAAGGGGGTATGATTTGCTTAATTTTGGTTTTTGAGGCTATAATGCTAAAACTTTATAACTGAAAGATAGACATTAATTAAAATTTTTGGAGACAGATTGCTTTCCTTCAGTATCTTAATTGCTTCAGTGAAAACTGAGAGCCTGCACTTCTCCTTCCTTTGCAAAACATTGTGTCCTCTTTGATCTGCATGCGCACACATATAGACATATATGGACAAGTTATGTTGGAAACTAATTTATCTAGTAACGACCTTGTCTTACTAATGGAAGAAAATCCACATAGGAACCTCTAGGTGCAATGATGCTGGGCATTTGCTGTCCTTGTGTTAGAAGCCAGGGCTCACCTGATTAAGTTGACTCTGTGCATCTACCTGCTTGTTTTTCTGTTATATTTTCACAATACCTTTGGATCTGCTGACCTGTTTTGTCAGGATGAAGATGATCTCTAGAAGATAACATTTTAAGGGAATGGGTAGTTGCATGTGTCCCCACTGAGAGGAAGATAATATCAGCAAATCTTCCAGGGAAGAATGCATTTCTGAATTCAGAGCAAGAAGATGCTTTGGGCAGATCTTAACATTTATTAGAATCTAGTTAGTTATGTCATCAGATAACTTCATTGACATCCAGCTTTACTGATAGCTCTGCTTTTGAAAAGACTTTTTTCTTAAAAAAAGTATTGGTGAAAAACAATTGGTGTAATAAAAGTACTCTGTTCATTTCAGGGGTTGTTGTAACTTCAGTGCTGAGCAGTGGAGCACAATTTTCCACTACTCCTTGTTAGTGCTTGGACTGTTACGTATTTTAAAACCTAGAGCACATACACTGTGTTAGGAGGAGAAAAAGGGGTGGTGCTTGTAATAAACCTTCTTGGGAATCTGTAGCACAGGTACCTATTTTGTTGAGTTGGGTGGAAACAAAGGGGAACCACGTATTTTTTTTTTAAGTGCTTTCAAAACTCTAGAATGATAGTATTTTTGGTTTGTTATACTTATGTTTTATCTGAGAGATTCTAAGAGACTGTGTGACACTGTTGTATTCCTAAATAAAGCACATACCCACTGATGGCAGCTTTGCAATCTGTAGCATTTTGATACCGGTATTTTTGGAGGTTGCTGGCTACAGTCCATAACTATACCTCAGCCATTTAGCTACTGAAGCCATCCTTTCCACCCATAGGTTCAGATGATTCCCTGGAAGGTCTGAGATTTATCAGATTTTTTCTAATGGCAGGCCTCATAAGTCAAATTGAGAGATCTCAAATAGCATATGAGTCAAAGCATCAACAGCTTTAAAATGTCACAAGTGGGACAGCTGGTCTTGCTGAGGGAAAGGGTGCTAACTCTGGGACAAGTGTTGTTTTAAAATGAACAAAAAATATAAGATTTAGTAAAAAAATAAAGAAAAAAAAATCACTTCAGTATATTATGAAATAAGCTCTGATGGTTTTGCCGGTTTTGAACATGGCAGTATTGGAATTTTCTTAACTTATTAATTGCTTTTACAGATCATAGGCAACTGGAAATCTGATAGATGTGTTTTAATTGTCTTATGTGGCACAAAGGAACAAAAATTAAGCATAGCATGTAATAAATAATGATGATTAAATGCATTTATTCCCAGTCTGGCTGTTGAATGCATGCTCTTACAGAATTAAAGTGCAGTTCTGCTTTTAGCTTATTTGTGTCTGCTTATGCTACTTCATACAGTAAAAACAGCATTTTAATAGGTTATGCTGTATTTCTAGTGAAATGTTTTGGTGCCCTGAAATGTGTAAGTTATACTGGCTGCTAGAGAGGGCGTGTAGCACAAGCCCCTTCTTATCCTGTGCATTATGAAATCTGATACGTGGATTTACTAGTGGCAAGAGATAAAAACAGCAAACAGATCAAACAGCCCCCAGCTAAGAAATGACCTTAAGAACATATTGGCAACCATCATTAAGGACTTGGAGACCCACATGGATTAGTTCTGGAGCCCTTTGTATCTCAGATTTCTGAGCTGTAGGTTGAACTGTAAACCATTCTGAAAATGTCACACTTCTGACAGCAACGATGAATTGGTGGCTTTAATTTTCTGAGAAAAGCATTGCTTGATTAAGGTGGGGGAAAATGATTCTTTCACTCATATAATGAATTTGTAATAAAATGTGCATTTAGTTACTGGGCAGGAAGAAATGGGTAGGGACTTACAATTCACTTACTGTAGAAATAACTAATATGGACAGCTTTACTGTTGTTGGATCATTGTGTAGGGAGAAATTTTCTTTGGAAAGAGAAAATAAAGCATCTAGAAATGTTCCATATCATCAAATATTTTTAATTTCTGGCTTTATGACCCCTTTTTGGATTCTTACAAAATTGTAGTTTTTTAAAAACAGTGTTTACCAGTTCTAATTGGTAATTCTAGTAAAAAAAATACAACAAAAATGGCAAAGGGAGAGTGCTGCTATGGGTGCATGTCAAAAATTGTTATTTCTGCTTGTACAGTTGCAGCTCTATTCAGAAGCGAGCGTGGCTCTCTTGCAACTGAATAACCCCAAGGGCTTCCAAGAACTAAGTAAGCAAACAAAGAAGAACATGACTATAGATGGAAAAGAACTGACGCTTAGTCCTGCTTATTTACTGTGGGACCTCAGCTCTGTCAGTCAGGTAGGTAAATTCTGTTACAGCATGTAAAAGTGGTTTTATTTAGAAACTACAAATAGAGGCAAAGTAGGTAATGACAAGGAACACGGGATTTCTTCCAGAAGCTTGCAAGTGTTAGAATCCAGTATTTATTATGTTGTAAGAAAACATCACAGGAGCACTGTCAACAAATCACAGAGATGATGGCTGAAACAGACATTTAATTGCAATTTTCATATTTTCCACTATGTGAAGAAAAATTTGCCCTCATCATGTGTTCTGATAAAAGTGTGTGCAGTCAAGTCATGAAAGGCATTACTGATCCTGACTGGAAGATAAGCCCACTTCTTCTATGGGAAAGACAGGCAACTTGATTAACAAACATGATGATCTCCTTTACAGCATGTTTCTTAGACATTTTTTTGTTTTGTTTTGCAGCATGGTATATGTTGGACAAAATGCTAATTGCTTCTCTTCCAAAAGTTTTGGAGACCTGAAATTACAGATGTCTGTAAGGAAAGGAGATTTACTTCTAATGCTTTTAGTAAAAGCACAGATATTTGGTTTAACAAAAGGAAATAAAATAACTAGATGTCTTCTTCAAGATAAAATCTTCTAAAATCTTGGGGTTTTTTTTCCTGGTAGCATTTAATCTTACAGTAAATGTCAAGTGGCACAAATTAGGTAAATGTGCCCTCTACAGTAAAGCTTGCAGTCTCTCTTTGCATCCTGTGACTCTGACTTTGGGGAACCGTTCTCTGTTAATACAAACACTAAACTCAAAATTTCTACTTCCCCATATTGAAATTATGCATTATTTTGTAAATGGTTACAGGCTTTGCTGAAATGCTTTAGGTGGTTATGTTTTTGAGAAGGCGTAAGCTGTGTTACTGTACGTATTAGAAAAGGAGACTTACAGTGTGTAGAATCTGCACTGAAAATGGTAATTGTTAAATGTTCACATTTTCCTTGATTTTTCCTGTTTCAGTTTGGCAGTTGTTCTTTTTAGGTAGCCTTAATTTAGAAGAGGTCATTAAGTTCTAATAAATGGTAAAAAATCCATATGTTACAATGTTGTGTATCCTAGTCTTGTTACTTACCTGAAGAGCTTCTAATTAAAATCTTCTCACAAAAGCAGAAATGTTTAGCTATTTGATAGTTTAATATTAGGCTTAGCTTTGTTAATTTTTTCCTGCTTATGTTCTTTAAAATGAAAGGAGATAATTGAAGAGCTGCTACTTCATGACACTTACAGAGTATCTATATTAGGTGTCACTTATATATGGCTTATGATGTAATGTACTTGGAAGGCCCCAGCCTCTTAAACCTGGATTACTGATTTAAAATGCAACTTGGCTTTTGATCAGGATCAGAAAATAATTGAGACTAGTAATCCGGGAAAGCAGGAGGCTGTGTTTTTAACGAGGTTCTTTCTTCAGGAGCAGGGTTCACCCAAGGCTGTTATCTTGCAGTGTGGTCAGCAGACATCGTAATGATATCAGTTGGTTAGCCATTGATGTCAGAAGATTGTATTGTTCACCTTGATCATTCAGAAAAATATGACCCTTTAGAAGAATAATGGTACTTGACCATGTACTTTTTATTTTTTCATGTTGCCAAGTCCTCAAATCTTGTACACCCATATGCTCAAGCTTACTGTTGTTATCTAGCTGGATCAGAACATGAATGTTCTATATGAAATCTAAGAAAGGATTTTTTTTTTTCCTTTTATAGTCCAAACAGGATGAAGATATATCTGCCAGCCGTTTTGAAGATAATGAAGAGCTGAGATACTCATTACGGTCAATAGAGAGACATGCCCCTTGGGTACGGCACATTTTCATCGTCACTAATGGACAGATTCCTTCCTGGCTTAACCTGGATAATCCTCGGATAACTATAGTAACACATCAGGTAAAAGCTAAACAAACAACCCCACCAAAAATCTGAAACAAACAAAAATTCTACCATGCAAGTGCCACTATGAAACATTCTGTGTTTATTTTGAAATGTAGTTGCCCCCTTTTAACTAAAGGCTGCATTATTTGGAAGGTGGAAGTGACCATCTCTTCCCTATCTCATCCGTTTACTGCTCCCCAGTATGTCTGTATTTTGGCTAAGCAGATAACTGAATATATATCAAGCCTTCATTTAGTCCACTTTTCCAAACACTGAGACATCAGCCAACATATACCCATGTCTAATTTCCTTAGAAACTATATTCATAAAAAGCATGGGGAGAAGAAAGTGTGATATGAATGAACAGTCTCTCAAGACCAGTAATAACATAATAAGCTTGTGTTGAGACAGGATGGATTACAAATACTGAAATTAAGAAGATGGCTGCAAAAGAAGTAGCTGTGCATTCTAAAAAGCTTACTTTAAAAGAGAATCCTTAAAACTTCCTGAATAAGTGAAACAAAAATACTCTAGAAGCTTCTTACTACAAATTCTGGAGCAATTTTAAAATCTGGACACACAACAGGAGCCCTGAGCAACCTAAGTGGTAACAAGATACTAACTCACCTCTGTTGCTGTCTTCTTGTAAGTTCCTTGAAAGATGGAAGAATCCTGACTTTCTGAATGTTGAACAGGTTCAGCTTGCTTGAAACTGCATCCTGTATTGCATGAGAAGTATAAATCTGTGTATGTTTGGCCTGATCACATAACGAGTGAAAGAGGAGTTTATGTCTTTGCATCGAACAAGATGCAGTTTCTTAGTTAAGCAGCAGACTTGAAAATGGTTTTGTTTGGGGAAAATGATATAGCAAAGTTTGGGGTGTTTTTTTTTAATACAGTATTTTAACCTTTTTGGCTTTCAAATCTCTTCTTCTTGCCAAAACTTTTTTTAATAGATAAGTGTCAAGTATATCAGACGTGTCTGACCTTTTATGTTTTGTTTGGGGTTTTCTTATTTATTTTTGCCTTCTGAAACTGGTTTGGTTTGTTGGGGCTTTTTTGTTTTAGGAAATATTTCAGAACCTGAGTCACTTGCCTACCTTCAGTTCACCAGCTATTGAAAGTCATATTCATCGTATCAGTGGCCTCTCTCAGAAGTTTATCTATCTCAATGATGATGTTATGTTTGGGAAGGATGTTTGGCCTGATGATTTTTACAGTCACTCTAAAGGTCAAAAGGTAAGCCATTACGAAAGGATTTATTTTTTTTTTTCACCACAAGTAAGATGTTAAACTTCTATAATAAAAAGAAACTACTTTGAAAGGGAGAGCAAATACAGGATTTGACTTCACTCCCCACTCTCCCTTTTACCTCTTAAGAGTTAATTTTTCTTAACTAGACAACTGTTAGCAGAAGTGCAGGGTGTGTAGGCCTTTGTCTTCTATTGTGTGTGTGCTGTGTTGATGTTTGGCTTGCAGAATTACTTTAATTTGAATTCACTCACAAGTTTCTGGCAGTATAATGGTTCTGTCAGGCAACATGCTTTAGTTTATCAGTGTCATTCTCTAATCTACTTTCTGTTGAAGCACTAATAAGACTGATGTTTGGCAGCTCTCAGTCTTCCTTCCCTTATGACTATTTTCTGTTTTGTGGGAAATGTTCAAAACACAATGAGTTCTTCCACAGGAACACTGAGGTCTGACAACATTAAAAATGGGCTGATATTTAAGTTTATCATTAATTACCTCTATTCCAGTCACCCATAATATCTTTGCTGAAGCTATATATAATCATATATAATGATTGTTGCATGTTCATGAACATCAAAATAATGTAGTCTTTCAATACATTTATCAACAACTGCGATTAAGCAAAGAAAACAGTGTGAGGAAACATTAGCAATAGTTAGACATAAAGACTCTGATTTCCAGCAGAGTTTCCATCCAGAAGTTGGATCTGTAAGAGGGACGTAGAGGAAAAAAATAAAATTATTTATATTCATTATTAAAGTAGTAAGTATACAAGACATTAAGGACCACTGAATGAGACTTCATGCAGGCAGATGTGCACACTTGAATACATATGCTGAAGAGTTGTACAAAATTACTTTAAGATACCCTAAAAGTACTGTTGCAATACTTCAGGATGTTTGGAGGCTTTTAGTTGTTTTCAGTCTTTACGGACATAGGCAAATAATTGCAAAATCCCTTTGTTAGTGTGTTTCTGTTGTTTTTCAGTTATTGTTCTCAGTTATGATGATAAAGTCAGCTTTGTTGTTTGCAGTAACCTGATCAGTGTTTCAGTAGGAAATGTGCTGCTACAATCTTGAAACAATAAAGCCTACAAGAAAATGTATGCCTTTTTTAATGCCTCCCCAGTTGAAAATACACACACCTACACACTTTTTAAAAAATCTTGGCAGTTCTTAGAATTGTTTAAGTTGTAGAGGATCAGATGTTTCATGGATTATGTTCAACATGTGCTGCTTATCTCATGACTGGTTAGTAATGAAGGAACATTTTGAGTCAGGAGAACAAAAACTGCAGAGCTATTTCAGAGTTTAAGTTCTCCCTTTCTTATCTGATAAAAGATAAAATACTAATTTTCATTAGAATATGGTTTGCAGAAGTCGATTAGTGAAGTCCTGCTTTCTGGTTTGGCTGTTGCTGCCTTGAGAATTCCTGAGTTTGTTAACTTCACAGGTGATAGTGTTCAAATGCTGGCTGTAAAGCATTGTGAATGCTTAAGGCACTATATTAAGTCTCTGTATTCCATGAAACAAGCTCAGTTGACTTCTATTTGCGAGTCCTTGTCTCAGATGGTAATGTTGTTTCAGGTTTACTTGACCTGGCCTGTGCCAAACTGTGCTGAGGGATGTCCTGGCTCATGGATTAAAGATGGTTACTGTGATAAAGCCTGTAATAACTCAGCATGTGATTGGGATGGAGGTGATTGCATTGGTAAGATAGCAATGTAAAATTTAGAAAAAGTGAACTTTTTGTTTTTTCTTGTAAGAGTAATTCTGTAACTTGTCATTCTCCTGTAACTACAAAATGTGCCTCTCTTAATAATAATTACAAATAATAAAAAAGTTGTCTTACAGATGAAAACGTTATTTCCTGAAAACTGCAAATTTGTATTGAAAATGACAGCAAATAGTAGAGCACAGGAATCTCTCTAGGTATCAAAATATGACTAGCTGAAATGAAGATTTTTGAAATGTGAATTTTTTCAATTGTTATTATATTATAATATTTTAAATATAATTTATTGTTTGGACTCACACTCTAAATAATACTGGACTGTGAAGCAACACTTTTAGTTCATACATCCAATTTTCAGGACTGCAGGGTGGGAAAATTAAGTGGTGCTTCTTGACTAAGGACACTGTCAAATCAAGACTGCAGCCATGAGAAGAAGTAAATCAGTTTTTTGCCTGCCTTTTTGAAGTTAAGACAAAATATGTTGGGAGTTTGTTGCAATTTAAAGTTGGTTCCTGAACTTCTACAATCAGATTGTGCATGCTATAGATTTTATGCTGACTAACGGAGGTCTGGTTAGCATTTGCTTAGTTGTATTTTCACTGATAATAAATAAGATTGTCAACTCAGTTTAGCTTTTACACCGTGGCTTAAAATGTGCCTTGCCTCAGAAATAAGGATTTCAAGTGACGGGGGTTTTTTGTTTGTCTTTTCTCTCTCCCTGAAGGTAACAGTGGGGGTAGTCGCTATGTTGCTGGTGGAGGTGCAGTTGGAGGTATCGGGAATGGACCACCATGGCAATTTGGTGCAGGAATAAGTGGTGTTTCATACTGTAACCAAGGCTGTGCTAATTCCTGGCTAGCAGACAAATTCTGTGATCAGGCCTGCAATGTCCTTTCCTGTGGATTTGATGCTGGTGACTGTGGCCAGGGTATGTAAAATACACTGCTGATAAAACTTCTGTAGGGGTCCTCTTGAATTGTGGGACCTTTTCAGTCCATTATTAATCTCAGATGGGAATAAGTTGCCCTGTATAGTTGTGAAAAAGAGCTGCTAGCAAGTGAAGAAAGAAGCCAGGTGACTCTTGTGTTCATTAATCCAAACTTGATTCAGTATTATATGCGGCTTTATTTAATAAAACTGTCATTGATCAAGCATGGGTGGAGTACTTGATACTTCACAGAGCAGCTAGGATGAAACTCCTTGCACCAAGAGGCTTACATTTTACATGGGGAAGTTACATTTCAGCTATGCAAAATCTTTACCTAATTAAGGACAGCTGAGTTGATGTTGTCCATAATGGTTAAGAAAAGTAAAGAATGTCTCTGGTACTGACAACATGAATTCAAGCCTGACTCTGGCCAAAGGCTACTTTCAGTCACCTGTGAAGATATCTGAAGTTTATTTTGGTATGAGAGTGTTGACAGATAATCTATAATCTGCTGTAGGAGGGAGAAGTTCAATTTGGCCTATCTGATTTTGGAAGTCTTGAAACAAGATGCAGTGTGGTAGTGAAATCCAACTGTTGTAACATTGATTTGCATAAATGTTTTACGGGCATGGTACATACGACTTGATAGATAATTCTAAGTGACATATGCTAATAATCCACTTAAGCTTTTCAGGTAGAGACTAAAAGAGTGATAAATTATACTGGCTTTTAGAATTATCACTGGAATGTCTGGCAGCTTTGTGTATCTGAGTGTGTTCTCATCATTGATTATTAGAGATAGGTGATCAAGTAACTGAAACCTATTCTAAGTGTTCTTTCACAAAGCTATCTCCCTGCTAATATAGTGAATGTAGCTGGGCATGTTACAGTTTAAAAAGACTGAAAGAGAAGTGTCACACTGCAAATTGACAGAAATCTGTTTTGTTTCTTGCTTTTTTCCCAGATCACTTTGAAGAGATGTACAAAGTGACGCTTCAGCTTAATCAGACCTACTATGTTATTCCCAAAGGTGAATATCTGCCCTACTTCAGCTTCAGTGAAATAGCCAAGAAAGGAATGGAGGGTTCATACAGTGATAATCCAATTATCCGGCATGCTTCTATTGCTAACAAATGGAAGACTATCCACCTCATAATGCATAGTGGCATGAATGCAACTGTAATCTATTTTAACCTTACATTTCTAAATAAAAATGATGAAGAGTTTAAAATGCAGGTAGCTGTTGAAGTTGATACTAGAGAGGAACCAAAGCTGAACACAAGTTCCATGCAAAAATCTAACTCTGATTTTAAAGCTGTAACTTCAGTACCAGAAGCTGAAATGATATTTGAGGATATTCCTGAAGAAAAACGCTTTCCAAGAGTCAGGAAGCATCAAAATGGCACAAAAGAGAGTCTACATGAAGAGGTGATAATACCATCAGTAAATGTGTCTCTCCTTCCTAAAGATGTTCAGTTAGCACTGCAGAACCTGGACTTAAAACTACTAAATGGTGATATCACTCAGAAAGGATTTAACCTATCCAAGGCTGCTCTCCTGAGACCTTTCCAGTTCTTAACTACTGTAAAGAGTGTTACAGGCCAGGAAAAGAGCGGTGTGCATAATCATTCAGAAGATCAGAAGAACCATACCAGCTTGCAGAAGCCTTATAAAGATGTAAATGACAGCAAAATAAAAAGAGCAAATGAAGAAGTTCCCTCAAGGCTCACAGGAACAAAGGGGACTGTTGTGACAATGCACCCAAATAAAGCTATTTATAAACTAAAGCCTAGGTCCACATTTCCCTCTCTGAGCATGGGAAATAAAAATGGAAGTAGAGAAAAAGTATTGAATGCACTTTTATTAAGAGAAACGCAGAAATCAAAACATACTGGGAATTCAGATACTGGAGAAGATGCACAGGAAGTGGAAGGAGGGAAAGATGGTGTGCAGGTGGATACAAATGTAAGGGCAGGACTAGTGGGAAGAAAATTACAGTCTTATGCTGGAAGTTACCAAGGCTTTTTGCCGTGGGAGAAAAAGAAGTATTTCCAGGACCTTCTTGATGTGAGTATTTTAACATCATTGCTTATTGGAATAGTTGCATCTTTAATTTAGGGGGATTCTTTAATATGATTTATAAATTCAGAATCTTGTATTTGAGGCAAATACTGAGATTTTTCAAAAGCTTCTTTAGGTTTTTCGTATAGCATCTAATTTGATTATGATTTGGGCCTCTCTTGGCTTACTGGTGAAAATGGAATAGCCATTTCTATTCCTTTCTACTGCTTTTTTAGTCAGATTCACTATGTATTCTTTGTGTTGGCACAGTGCTGTTTTTCAGACATATGTAGCACTACCACAGCTTAAATTTTTTTTTTTTGCATTTATGCAGTTATGGATCCCATGTATTTTTTAAAAATGTAAAAAAAATTATAATGGTAACTACTTGGGCTCTAAAAGTTAAATTGAAAATCTGCCAACAAAACTGAATATTTAGACTATGTCAAGAAAACATGTAGGAAGCTTCCTCTGCCTCCAGCCAAAGCATTTTGGCAGAGGTTTGAAAACATCTAGAATTGAAGATAGAGGCTGTGCTTCTGTTAGTAGCAGCTGCTTTGCACAGGTCCAAATGGCAGAGGGGCTATGTTTAGCCTTTTAAAAGGCTACTTCTGTCTTTTCATCCGAGATTGGATTTTGCATAAGGAATCTTTATATTTGTAGCATTTCAGTTTATCAAATGTGGATAAGTAATCAGAAAAAAAAAAAAGTAATATTAAAAATAAATGTTATAGCAAGCAGGGACTGTGTGAGGTGTCAGAACACAAATATTAAGGAAGATTTCTATCAAATACTTTTCCTTAAAGCATGTACGTTTTAAGGAAATGGGTTACCTTTTATCTTTTCCTCTTAAAGAGAGAACTAAGGAATATGAAGAGAAAAACCCAAACATAATTCTTACAATTTTCAAATATTAAAAAGTGTTCACACCTGGTTGAAATACCATTTTTCCTATGTCTTTAGTGTTATGGATTTATGTCTACTCTGCTGTTTAGGAAGAAGAATCATTACTCAAACAAATGTCATACTTTACTGATGGTAAACATTTTGGAAGGCAGCTGAAAGATACTTTTGCTGATTCCCTTCGATACGTAAATAAGCTTTTAAACAGCAAATTTGGATTTACGTCTCGGAAAGTCCCTGCTCATATGCCTCATATGATTGACCGCACTGTTATGCAAGAGCTGCAGGACATGTGAGTAGGTCTCTGTTTGGAATAATACAAAACTAATCAAATCTACGTTTCTGTTGATGCTTTCCAATAGCTATTTCCAGTATGTTGATGGCTACTCATTAAAGCCATATTTAGAAATAGAGTTCATTACATGATAGTTCTGCTATAAAATAAGGAGACTTTTGAGGACCTTTCTAAAATTCTAGATGAGAACTTGTTTTTAAGTAAGAGATGGTTTACTTTAAGAAACTTTGTACTAAACTAGTTTACATTCTTACATAGGTTTCCTGAGGAGTTTGACAAGACATCATTTCACAAGGTGCGGCACTCAGAAGATATGCAATTTGCTTTTTCATATTTCTACTATCTTATGAGTGCAGTCCAGCCACTGAACATTTCTCAGATCTTTGATGAGGTTGATACGGACCAGTCAGGCATTTTGTCTGACCGAGAGATTCGCACATTGGCCACAAGAATCCATGAGCTACCGTTAAGTTTGCAGGTACTCTTTCTTACCAATAACTTTTAGAAGAACTTCATGTTTAAAGTCTAAAACTGTTAAAATTAGTTAAATAATTATTTATCCTTTGCTTATAGCATTGTTAAGATCTGGCAATTCCTTAATTTTACTTAGAGGATGTAACATTGTGTTCGGCTTTATTATTGTTATTAACAATTAAGTTCTAGCAACATCAGAAAACTGGATAACTGGTGTCCAGGTTCAAGAAAGCAGTTAGTGTGAGTTTGTCAGAAAAGATATTCCCTGGTAAAAGCCACTTCCCACTGTGAAGAGTGGGATCCTGCTGTGCTTACTTTTGTTCTTGCACATGATGAAGGACAGTCCTTGCCCTGAGGAAATTGTGGCCTCAAGAAAGAAGCGAGAAAAAGGGTAGCAAAGAAGACATACTAGTAAATGCTATGATCATATATAAAGATTGTTGTTTCTGTGTTTCTAGGAACCTGATAAACAAAGAGACAGGGTCTTTGTAGGGCTTACACTCTTAGAGACAGTTAATATAGAACAAAGTGTACTATCTCTGCTGTACAGTGAGGAATCAGCACAAACCAACAATAATTTGTTCTTGAAATAGCACGTTAAATCATAGGCTTAGCTGGAACACAGCCCTGCTTTGGTGTGGCCTCTACCTTAGTCAGAAAAACTTCTGTCCTTTCAGTTCATGTTTGCTTGATTTGGTATTTGATATGCCATTGCTGGTTTGGGAATACTGTACTGCCTTCACCTAATCAGCAAAGGTTTGTGTTCAATTTTAAAATGAAAATTACATTTAAGTCATGCTTTACCTGATCTCAGTTCAACTGTGCACTGAGCGTTTCTTTACTTCAGACATACAGGGAGACCCACTGGCAACTCAGCAGTTACCAAATTGCATCTGCTGAATATTAAGTCGTCTTTTTTCCACAGTAGCGTGAAAGTTTGTTATGTAGATAATATTAAATGTCTTTGCACCCTGGAGTTTTAGAACTATGTCAGTGAAAAAACAGGATTATCTTTTTTCTTTTTTTCTTCTTCTCGTTCTGTTAGGATTTGACGGGTCTAGAACAAATGCTAATAAATTGCTCTAAATCTCTTCCTGCCAACGTCACTCAGATCCATGGTATCCCACCAACTCAGGAAGCATATTATGATCCTAATCTGGTAAGAAACATGGGTCTTAAGAAAGATGCTTAGTTTCTTTCCTGAGCATGTATTTACTGTGCGTGAAAATTTCTACTTGTGTGCACATGAACTGTTACAAAATGAAAATTTTACAAGCTACTTCCTAACTTTAAAAGCTATTACTTTCCTACAAAAACAGAGAAAAGCTGAGCTTAAGAGTGTTTTTAAATATTCAATTTTAGAAGTTGTCTCTGTTAAGAAAAATCACTGTTAGGAACTAAAATGACAGTAAGTAAAAAACCTCTCTGACTAGAATGTTCTGGTAAGTCTTTGCCTAAAGTATAACCCATGTATTTAGAAATGAAACAAAACAAATTTAAAAACCCCACCAAACCATCACATGGACATTTTTAGAGTAATCATTTATAATTTGAAGGCTTCAGACTAAGTCCTTTAAACTTACAAAGGTGGGATGACAGGAAACTCATGAAGTTCAGCTAGGAAGAGTGCAAAGTCCTGCACCTGGGGAGAAACAAGCCCATACACTTTATTATGCTGGGGGCTATCCAGCAGGAAAGCAGGTTGGCCAAAGAGGACCTGGGGCTCCTGTTGGATACCAAGTTGAATGTGAGCCAGCAGCGTGCCCTTGCAGCAAAGGTATCTGATAGTATCCTTGGCTGCCTTAGCAGTGTTGCCAGCAGGTCAGGGGAGGTGATCTTTCCACTCTACTAGGCATTGGTGAGGTCACACCTGGGATGCTGTGTCCAGTTCCAGGCTTCTCAGTGCAGGAGAGACATTGGCATAATGGACAGAGCTCAATGAAGGGCCCATGAAGATGATTAAGGGACAGGAGCATTTCTCTTATGAGGAAAGGCTGAGAGAGCTGGGACTCTTCAGCCTAAAGAGTCTCATGGAGACCTCCTCAACAAATATAAATATCTGAAGGGAAAGCATAAGGAAGATGGAACAAGGCTCTTCTCAGTGGTACCCAGTGACAAAGCATAAGAGGTAAGCTGAAAGGTTCCCTTTAAATATTGGGACACTCTCTTACTGTAAGGGTGACCAAACATTGGTGCAGGTTGCCCATTTGTGGGCAGTCTTCATCCTTAGAGATATGTAAAAGCCACCTAGATGTAGCCCTGAGCAACAAGCATGAGTTGGCCCTGCATGAGCAGGTGGTTTGGACAAAATGATGTCTTGAGGTCCCCTCCAACCTAAATCATTCTGTGCAAACTGAGGTGTTTGGACTAGATGTTTACTAAGGATCTTAGTCCTTAATTTCTACTTTAGTGGTTAAACTTGAATTAAAATATTCTGGAATTTAGAAATCTAAAATCTTTACTGCTGATGCTAATACCTAGTTTTCTTTTACAATGAGAATTTAATTCCTGCATCAATGTATGCATTTGAAAAAAATGTGTGCATGTACTTTGCTAAATTGATCTCGTTTTATAGCTTCAAACTAATACTGTATCAAAGCAAAAATACTTTTAAGTACAGATTATGAACTCTTAAATTCAGTTTTCAAAATTCTGTGAAATAAAAACTTTGTGAAGAGTAGTAATTAGGGATGGCTGCCATGAATATGTTTTAAGACACGGTTAAAAATAAGCCTCAGTGGTTGGGAACAACATGAAATTACTTTAATCTTTTTGGAGAGTTAGTAAAATCCTACTAATCTAAGCAGTAATGCCTAGTGTACTAATGTTGCCAGTCACTTTGAATAGTGACAAACTAGTGTTTGTGTTTAGCAGAGAGGCCTAATTTATGTTTACTTCTGTTGTGTGCAACAGCTAAATTTCTTGGAATGAGTCTACTGCCATAGATATATCCTTTGAGAATAAGGATTTTATTTCCCAGAATTGTTTCAACATAGCTTGTGATAGAAATAAGGCCTAATGTTTGTGAGCTGTTGTGCAGAGCTTGCCTGGCCAGTGTTATGTTGGCTTCTACTAGAGGAATATCAAAGTCAGCTGTCAAATGGGCTAAAATTTCTGAATATTTTATTGAGGATGAAATCTAGAAGTTGCAGTGCTTTTTCAAAAAATAATTAATATTTTTCATATAATATTTGTATGCACAGGAAATCATTGTTATGCATCAGGATCTTTGGTTTTTTCCCCTCAAGAGTTTATTAAGAAACCGGTACTTTTCATTCCAGGAAACTAAAGCATACACAGGCATTTCTAGCTGTAATACAGGTTTTCTACAAATAAGTTTTTACAACAGTCTCTATAATTTTCAGTAACCTATAATCTAAGCAATGTTTTCTTCCAGCCTCCAGTAACAAAAAACCTAGTGACAAATTGCAAACCTGTGACTGACAGAATTCGAAAGGCATACAAGGACAAAAACAAATACAGGTATGTTGTTACAGTCCTGTCAAAAGCCATGGTAGATTCTTCAAGCAGTAAGAATTATAGATACATAAATGACCAAAGATTTCATGTGTATGTTAACAAATCTTAGCTCAATTTATTTTAAGAGTGGATCTGAAGAAATACACTGGTATCTTCTTTTGTGTGTCTTATTTTTCAGCATGCTGTGATTTGTTCTTAATATTTTCCTAGTTAGTACGCCAAATAGTTTTGTGATGTTTTTGTCATCTTGGGCCACATCCTAATTTGTGTTGTACAACAGTAACCCAGAGTATATAAATTATATAGCTATATATAAATTTACTATATGTAGTGAGTGAGTAGCTTAGAAAGGAGGAAGGAGCTGTATCTGGAAGTTGTAAATGTGTTTCATCCTTTCTTCTATGTAAGCTTAAAAAAAAACAGAAAAGAAAAAGCCTCTTAGGTCTAATATCTTGTAGCTTTCCTGCTAGGAGGAGTGACAGGTGAGAATGAAGGGGAACAACAGAAGAGCCTCCATTCTCATTTGGAAAGGATGATCATGACCGTGGGTTTGTTTGAATAATTGTATTTGCATAGATCTGCCCAAGATGCAGGTTCCCTCAGGTCTTTCTTGTCCAAAGCCTGTAATCCAATTTCATGCTGACGAGTCTGTTGGCTGCTGTGGAGCTTACAGCCTTGTCTCCTGTCCGTTGCCTTGCCGGGGGTGTTGCGCAGGGGAGGGTGGTGGGGAGTCTCTGAGGCATAGAGTTGTCCTAGGAGTGGCTACAAAGTTAAACTGGAGAATGAAAGAACGTTACAGTTGCTGCTTAGGGCAGCTATTGGACATAATTATACATTAATTCGTAAGTGCCTCAAGTAGTGCTATAAGCTTTAAAAATAATTCCCTTCCCAGGAGAGTTTACACTAAGACTGAAAAGCTAACACAACAAGTGAGATGGAAAAATGTTGGGGTGGGTGCAATGATTTGCTGTGCTTAGTGATTTAAATACATTACTGTATATCAGTTTGACATGTAAGCTGCTCTTTTGTACTGTTGAACTTCAATATTGAATAACTGTATTATTAATATTGTGAGCTTAATAAATAGAGTATATTCTCAGGTGAGACTTCAAGGAGCAGGCAGGGTATTTTCTTATCAAGATAAGAAAGGTGAAATATATAAGTATGGTGATTCTAGTAAGGCTGTTGAAAGAACACTTGACCCTGTTTTAAACTCAAGATATCCTTCAGAAATTATATGCTTAGCATTTCATATACTTGTTTTGTCTGCAAGTTATTGATTAGGTGGATAAGGAAGGTTTTATATGTGCTTAAGGCTGTATTTTTATATACTCTCTAATTTTATTTCAAGATTTTTCTGGGATTACTGATTGAATAATGCAAATATACTGATAGGAATAAGATTATAAATGCTAATAAAGGTTTGACTATCATATTGTAAGAAAGTTACTAAAATATTAAATTAATATTTATTGAACCTGAATTTAGGTTGTTCTGTTAAAGTATAATTTATTTATTTTTTTAACAATAAGGTTTGAAATCATGGGAGAAGAGGAAATTGCCTTCAAAATGATTCGCACAAATGTTTCTCATGTAGTTGGTCAGCTGGATGACATACGAAAAAACCCCAGGTATCCTGTACCTTTACTTGCATGAAGTTTTGAGGTAGTTTTAACTTTCTACTTCAACTACTTAAACTGTGTGTTGAAAAAAATATTTTATTGCAATGTATTTCTATACTGTGTGCTGGAAGGTAGGCCTCTGTTTCTCCACTCTACAGTGGTGAAAGGTTTAGATACTAAAATTGAGAGTGTTGAATTAGGCTGTTGAAATGGGAAAATAAATATCCTGGAATATGTTTCACAGCAATCCTCTTGCAAAGCAAAGGGTGCTGTATTTGAGACTCAAGTCTAAATCTGTTTTGCAGAAGTATTTAACTGTGGTTCTGAGCCCATTGCTAGTACTGCAGTTCAACAAGATATGCTGAGATAGTTTAATAGCCAGCTGCCATAAAAGGGAGACAATACCTGCACCTGTGTCCTTCCTTCCTTCCTTCCTTCCTTCCTTCCTTCCTTCCTTTTGGTTGCACACTCTTGCATCTTGCTTCTGTCTTCAGAAAACTACAGAGTTCTTTAGAACTTCATGGAAGTCAGAGCGTTTTTGGAAACTTAGAGAGTTCTCTGCCAGTTGAATCAGTTTGGCTTCAAGGAGGGGTCTGATAAGTGTCAAAAAACAGAGCAAGGAGGAAAACAGGATCAGGTACCTTGGGCAAGGGGAAGTGAAACCTCTTGCAGGTCACAGCAAGCTGTTGGCTAATCTCAGCTGCCTGTAAAGCAGACTCCACATATGCAAACCCTTTTTGGTGTTTTGCTTTTCTCTGAAGGAGCAGTAGTGTATTATGGTCCCAGATTGTTGGCAGGTTCTTGAAGTAAAGTTGAGTCAACTGATTGGGCTGTGTTCCTGCAAAGTATAGTGCAGTGCTGTAGTCAGCAAAAGAGAGCTGGCATGGCTATGTAGGCACACTGTGTCCTTCTCTTTGCCATGTTTTCCCTCCGTATAAAGCATCAGAATAATTACAGTCTCTAAAAACGGGTATTCTGTGCCTCTCTTGGGACAAACTAGAAGTATTGTTCGCATGCTGATATGCCTAAAATGTTTGGTTTGCATCCTTAAGGAAAGTGTGCCTTAGTTGTCGAGGCATTAATTCTGAAATATCCAAAGGAATTTCAGATTTGGTTTATTTTAGATGGATTAAAACAGTCTTTCCATTTGAAACAGGTTAATATCCTCTTCGCTCCCACTTACTGTGCTTTGGTTTGCTATGTGTGGCAACCTCCCAGTCTGTAAACTGCATCTCATGAAGCTGAACACTAATACACACTCCAGGAGTGCAGCTAGTGAGCTGCCAGTCCAATGGCCAAGGTCAGGGACAGTCCAGAGAGAACTCTGAAAATGCTTATAGTGTAGGCATATGATTGTCATAACCAGCTGCTTTGCATAGTATTACTTGATAGTATAGACATAGCCTCCTCATCTTGGAAGAGGAGAGCCGTATTTTGTTCTTCTCAGATGTAGCAATTTGAATGACTTGATCCTCTGCACGTAATTGTCTAGAGCAAGGTTATCAATTGTGCCAGATTCAGCACAGACTGAGGAAAAGTGGTAATGCCCTGTGCAGGCTGCTTCATGTCCTCTAGAGCTCTGATTATTTCCAGCTTCATGTAGGAAGTCTGAACTTTGCTCTTTGAAAGAACACACCATACTGTAGAGAATACAGCTGACCAGAACTACTTATTTACAAAGGTTAGCAATTACAAGGCATATGTCACCAGATACGATTTCTCCCTCTGGGGAAAATGTAAGAGTCTGGTATCTCACAATATAAATAAAGCACATAACCTTGCCCATATGTGGGAAAGGGAATTTTTGTTGTCAAGCATCAGGTCAGAGTGTCCAAGGGTACATAGCAGTCTAGCACACTAGGTGCTGCTTCACTTTCAGTAATTTGCTGTCTTAGATAGTTGTGTGTTTCTTATCCAAGAAAATAACTCACTGCAAGAGGTATTATTTGGAGCATACTTATTTGGTCACAGTGAATTCCATCTAAATTCTAATCAGGTTGTTGTTGTATTTTGGTTGGTTATACAGGTTCAGCTTTGGGTCTGTGATTCAAGTAATTTTCTGCCCAGTTTATATATTATTCCTCAGTAACTCAAAGCCTGGGGACCAAGATTTGCCTTCTTCTGTATTATCTTCTATAGTTTTTATGTTGACTTTGTCTGAAGAGTGCAGCACACACAGTAAAATATTAATAATTTAGTGTATTTACCTACTGCAGTGGAGCTCATTTTGTTATTTAAAATACTTTACTAATGTTCATTTGTTTAAAACTATAAAACTATCACCCAAATCATAGTGCTGGCCACCTAACTTGCTGCCTGTATCCAGTGGTGGGCTCTGACTCATGCCCATTAGATGGCAGCATTACATAAATAGATGACAGAGAAATATGACTTCTCATTTTGAATCATCAGCAGTTTTGACTCGCCGTCAGCCTTGGTGCTCAGAATTAAAATCACATTAATTTAAAATAATGCAACAATAAGGAAACTGCAGGCAAAAGCAGTTACCTCTGCTGTAAAGGATGCAGCAACCCAGACCATGCTGTCGCAGAGGCATGTGGCTGTCCAGGCCTCTGCCTGCAGGGAATGCCACAGCCTATCTCCAGCACTTGGTGATTGCTCTAGCAACATATATATGAGGTATGACCAAGTAGTGGATCTGCTCTGCACGGTAGCTGAGCTAAGAGATGAAGTCAAGATGCTAAGAAGCATCAGAGACTCTGAGGATGAAATAGATTGGTACTCACTCTTAACTTCCCTGAGGCAGGTACATCAAGGGATGCAGGAAGAAAAAAAGAGTCCTCAGCCCTCCTGCTACCAGTCTAACAATACCAAGCAAGAAGATGAGGGAAGGTGGAAGCAGGTTCCTGCTCAGGGCTGTAGGCATCCCCCTTCCCTTCATACATCCTCCCCTCAGATAAGTCTACACAACAGGTATGAGGCTCTGGAAGTTGAGGTGCAGACTAATGATGTCACAGATGACAGATCATCTGGGACAGAGTAGAGGCCCAACGTGAGTTGGCCTACTCTTATAACATCATCTTCTGTTAAGAAAAAGTGAAGAGTTGTTGTCATTGGTGATTCCCTCCTCAGAGGAATGGAGGGCCCTATTTGTCGACCAGGGAGGTATCGACATAGGAAGGTCTGCTGCCTCCCTGGGGCCCAGGTAAGAGATTTTACCAGAAAGGTCTCTAACCTGGTATGCCCCTCTAACTACTACCCACTACTGATCTTTCAGGTGGGTAGTGAGGAAATTGTTACAAGTCCAAGGCGAGACAAGAATGACTTCAGGGCATTGGAGAGAATAGTCAGGGACTCAGGTGCCCAAGTTATCTTTTCTTCCATACTGGCAGGAGGAGGATATTATGAAGGAAGTAACTGGAAAATCTCACAGGTTAATACCTGGCTCTAGGGCTGTTGTCACTGACAGAATTTTGGATTCTTTAACCAGGGATCAGCGTATTCATCACCGAGCCTACTGTCAAGAGATGGGGTGCACCTATCTCAGCACAGAAAGAGGGCATTCTCCCAGAAGTTAGCAGCCCTCACTGACAGGGCTTTAAATGAGGTTTGAAGGGGGAAGGGAAAACAAAGCCTGCTGCAAACATACCTGGGGTTTGCACAATGGGGGTTGAAGGTCTGGAAGTCATAAAGGATTCAGGTGTGCTTCAGCGCCAGCTGAAGTGCCTCTACACCAATGCATGCAGCATGGGCAACAAACAGGAGGAGCTGGAAGCTATCATGCTACAGGCAAGCTATGATACAGTGGCAATTAAAGAAACTTGGTGGGATGAATCCTATGATTGGAGTGTGGCTATCGAAGGCTATATAAGCTGTTCAGAAGGGATAAGACAGGAAGAAGGGATGGAAGTGTTGCCCTCTATGTGAAGAATTGGATAGAGTGTGAAGAGTTGTCCCTAAAATTAGCCATGAGCAAGTTGAAAGTTTATGGGGGGGAATTAGGGATTGAAACACCAAAGGGAGCCTGGTGGTTGGAGTCTATTACAGGCCACCTGATCAAGTGGAGCCTCTTGATGAAGCCTTCTTAGTTCAGCTTGAAGAAAAATCGTGATCGCAGGCTCTCATCCTGCTGGGTGATTTTAACCATCCCGACATCTGTTGGAAAAGTAGCATGGCAAGTTGTAGGCAATCCGGGAGACTCCTGGAATGCCTTGATGACAACTTCTTAAGTCAGGAAATTGACAGTCCTACATGGGTGGATGTGTTATTGGACCTGGTTGTCACGAATGTTGGTGGACTCTTTAGGAATATCAAAGTTGAAGAGAGCCTGGGCTGCAGTGCCCATGCACTACTGCTGTTCACTGTCCTAAGGGCAAGAGGCAGATGAAAAGCTTAGTCAGGTCTCTGAACTTTAAGAAAGAAAACTTCCAGCTCTTCAAGGAGTTGGTACGTAGGACCCCATGGGAAATTGCCCTCAGGGATAAGGAAGCAGAAGAGAGCTGGCAGATCTTTAAAGATGCTTTCCATAGGGCACAAGAGGTCTCAATCCCCTGGTATAGGAAATCAGGCAAGGAAGGTAAGAGACCAGCATGGCTGAGTTGAGACCTGCTGGTCAAACTAAAAGGCAAGATGGACATACAGAGGCAGTGGAAGAGGGGACAGGTATCCTGGGTAGAGTATAGGGATGCTGCCTGGTTATGCAGGGATGAGGTCAGGAAGGCCAAGGCACAGCTGGAACTGAACTTGGCAAGAGATGTTAAGAAAAACAAGAAGGGCTTCTACAGGTACGTAAACCAGAAAAGGAGGGTTAAAGAAAGCATACCCCCATGATGAGCCACAGTGGTGAAATGGTGACAACAGACGAGAAGAAGGCTGAGGTTCTCAACTTTTTTGCCTCAGTTTTCACTGGCAACCCCTCTCCTCACAACTCTTGTGTTGATAGCCCACAAGATGCAGACCAGAGAGACAGCGTCCTCCCCACTGTAAGTGAAGACCAGGTTCCTCAGATGGTCACAAACCTTAAGATACACAAGTCCACAGGACCTGATGAGATACATCCCAGAGTCCTGAAGGAACTGGCAGATGTAGTTGCCAAACCACTGTCCATGATATTTGAAAAGTCATGGCAGTCAGGTGAAGACCCTGGTGACTGGAAGAAAGGACATGTTATGCCCATATTTAAAAAAGGTAGAAAGGAGGACCCTGAGAATTACTGACCTATCAGCCTCACCTCTGTGCCTGGGAAGATCAAGGAACAGATCCTCCTAGAAGACATGATAAGGCATGTGGAGGAGAAGGAGGCGATCCATGACAGCCAGCATGGCTTTACCAGGGGCAAATCCTGCCTGACCAATCTAGTGGCTTTCTACAATGAAGTGGCTACATCAGTTCACCAGGGAAAAGCAGTGGATGTCATCTATCTGGACTACTGCAAGGCCTTTGACATGGTCCCCCACAACATCCTTCTCAATGAATTGGAGAGATATGGGTTTGATGGGTGGACTGTTCAGTGGATGAGGAACTGGCTAGATGGTTGAGTCCAGAGGGTAGTGGTCAACGGCTCTGAGTCCAGATAGAGAACAGAGCAGCCCTGTGGAAAAGGCCCTGGGGGTACTAGTGGATCAAAAGCTGGACATGAACCACCAGTGTGCAGTTGTAGCCCAGAAGGCCAACTCCATCCTGGGCTGTATCAAAAGAAGTGTGGCCAGCAGATTGAGAGAGGTGATTCTGTCCTTCTACTCTGCCCTGGTAATACCTCACCTAGAATCCTGCATCTAGCTCTGGTGCCCCCAGCACAAGAAATATGTGGACCTGTTGGAACGTGTCCAGAGAAGAGGCACAAAAGTGATCCGAGGGCTGGGGCACCTCTCTTCTGAGGACAGGCTGAGTGACTTGGGGTCTTTCAGTCTGAAAAAGAGAAGGCTGCGGGGGGAGCCTAAAGGAAAGATGGGTAGGGTCTTTTCACAGGGGCTTGCAGTGAGAGGATAAGGGGTTTTAAGCTGAAAGAAGAGAGATTTAGGTTAGAGATCAGGCATAAATTCTTCAGTATAAGGGTGATGGGACACGAGCAGGCTGCCCAGAATTGTTGTGGGGACTCCATCCCTGGAGGTGTTCAAGGGCAGGTTGGATGAGGCTCTGAGCAGCCTGTTCGAGTGGGAGGTGTCCCTGCCCATGCAGGGGAGTTGGAACTGGATGATTTTTAAGGTCCCTTCCAACTAAAAAAATTCTGTGACTCTAAAACCTGTATCAAATGTATACATTTGAATTTAAAAGGATGCTATCTCAGTTTTATTTAAAAGGATTCTGTTTGTGTTCTTGGTTTGCCAGTCCCTTTAACATAGTATTAATGGAAATATCCTAATAAAGACTTCTTGTTTTCTAGAAAATTTGTTTGCCTAAATGACAATATTGATCACAATCATAAGGATGCTCAAACAGTGAAAGCGGTGCTTAGGGACTTTTATGAATCAATGTTTCCCATACCTTCCCAGTTTGAACTGCCAAGAGAATATCGGAATCGTTTCCTTCACATGCATGAACTCCAAGAATGGTATGTTACACAGGTTCTCTTCAAGTCATTGTAGCTTGATAGCAGATATTTATAAAATATATTGGTACAATTAATTTTTCCCCTACTATTGTCATGAAGGAGTTAACGGTGAAATATGGTGAAGATTAATCTTTGAGACTTGCAGGATTCAGGTTTGTCTGTCACTCTGAAAGTTAACATTTCATTGATGGGCCTGAACTTCAAAGAAAATTTGTTAAATAAAGTTGTTAATGACTTGTGGCTTTCTTTAAATGTAAAAAATCCCATTGTTTGGAATATCTGTTGCACAGGAGCAATATAAACTCTGTGGCATTTCCCACAAAGTTGGGTTTTTTTGTCTGTCAGCAATAATGAGTTGGATAGTCATCAGAAAACATACATGTGTTTAATTTTTACTTAATATGCAAAATTTTCATATCTGTGTACTTCTTGCCATTTAAAAAATAATACTTTATTTTCAGAAATCAGAGAAGTTTATTTGAGAATACAAGCAGAGGGTTGTTAGTTATAGGAGTAAAAATGAGACAAGAGTAATAGTACAATCATTTTGTTGCTGGTCCTCAAATGATGAAAAATAGCTGTTAGTAAGGGAAGAAAAAATACTAGAGGAACTGTAGAAAGAATTGGAAGGCACTGTAGGTGACAAAAAGGAGTGATTATAGTGCTAGAAGCCCTACTGTATGAGCAGCAGAGGGAGTGAAGGACAAAGCCCTTTGAGCAGATAGCTGTAGTAATTTGGGCCAGAGGAGCAGATAAAATGTTGGCTCCTTTTTTGAGGCTATCCACCAGGAGTTTGTCAAAAGAATACTTTATTTTGACCTGTTTGTAACCAAAGTAGATTTCTATCAGTGTGGGTTAAAGCATGCTGAAGTGCTGGTGGAAATTCATGTTTATCTTCACTTGAATTTTCCACCTTTATCTTGAATGGTATTTAATCTTGGTTTAAGAGCCAGTGTAACAACTCTACAATGGCTCTAGGAGGGTACCAGAGCATTTTGAAGATTACATTTAAAGTAAAGGAAGTTAAGAAATGTGCAGAACTTGGGCTATATACATTAAATAAGCATTTTGGTTCTTACAACACAGGTTAACAGGCATGCATTGTCAAAATGTTGTAGAGAATTTTAGGACAGCTCAGGTTGGATGGGACCTCAAAAGATTACGTGGTCTTGCCTTTTGTTGCAAAGCAAGCCTAGGTGCTCTAGCCATCTAGTGTCCTGTGAAAACCTTCAGTGATGGAGATTCCACCATGTGTCTGGGGAGGCTGTTCTAGTGAATGATTGTTCTCACTTGTAAAAAAATTCTTATATCTAGATGTAACCTTTCCCAGTCTAGTTTGGACCTCTTATCCCTTGTCCTCTCCATGTCTCTCCATTGTTTTTGTTAACCACCCTTTAAGTACTTGAAAAAAACTTTCTTTGCCTGTCTCATGGAAAGTCTTTAAAGTTTATATATTTACAATATATGATGCTGTTTTTCCTTCTTTGTGCAGGAGGGCATATAGAGACAAGCTCAAATTCTGGACCTATTGTGTTCTAGTAACACTTATTGTATTTACAGTCATCTCATTTTTTGCTGAACAGGTAATGTTAATATCTTCTTATAAATTCAATAATGTTTAATAGATTGCTGTATGTTCAGAATGACATAAACTGGATTTTTCAAATAGGTTTTAAGCATAGCTAGGATTTTTCCTTCATAAAGGCAGTAGAGATGATACATGACTTATGATTGGGTTGCTTCAATTTTTAAGTCATGTTGAGATTCCTTGGAAAGAGTTATATGGGGGGAAGGAGAGTGGTGTTCCCTTTTCAGGCACTTTGTGACTCTCAAGTTCTTAGTGTGCTAAATTTGGATGTTCAAAATCAGTAATTGTTTTTGAAAGTCTTGGTCTATTAACACACATATTGGTAAAAGTGCAAAGTAAGTTAATAGGAAGAAAATTCATGCAATAACAATGCTCATGTTCTGAAGAAAATCTCAAGGTAAGTAATTGCAAAGGCTCCTATTGGATTAAAAAGTTTTAACTTTAATTTGAAGGAAAAAATCTTCAATTGCTGCAAGCATAAAATGGCTTTCTTGAACGTGATTAATCCTGCTAAACTTAGAGGGAGTCAATGGAACAAATCATATGGGTAATTCTTTGCAGGTTGGGGCCTTAAGTAACACTTTCCGTGGTCTGATGAAGAGGGTGTAATTCTTGAAAGGTTGGCTTTTGATTATTATTTTTTTTCCCACCTGTAACTTTTGCATGAATCTTTTCCTTCACTTTCAGCCTTTTTTATATATTTGAAAACTTGCCCTCTGTTAGTAACTTAGTTTTGGAAAGTGGTATTCAACTCAGCAGTACACCTAGGTATATACATACTGTTTAAAGATTCCAGCTTTGTGTTGAACTTTTAGAAACTCAGTGTGTCCTGGTGTTACGTTAATGTAAATACATAAATTAACTTCAAAATATCAGAATATAGGCATACTGTATTCTTAACTTTTTCCTTGTACTCTGGTTATTGAGAAATGCAGTAGAAATATATACGACTACTAGACGAAGTTGAGTAAATAACTTTTTTTCCTATGCAGTGAAAATTAAAAGATGGTATTGACTTAATTACCATGGATGGTACAGATTTTATAGATTCAAGGATAAAAGCCTGACCAGCTGTGTACCTCTAGCTCAGTAGAGAACTAAATATTTGTGTTTTTTCCTCTCTTCAGCTAATTGCACTTAAACGGAAGATTTTTCCAAGGAGAAGGATCCAAAAGAAAGTTGGTAATGAACAAATCAAAGTGTAGAAGAGCTTTATTTTGGAGATCAGTCTACCTCAAGATGTGAAAAGCATTTAAAATCTTTCTCATAAGTGTCTTTATGGTTTTAAATTTAACTACGTTGATATGAAGAAAAAAAATCATGCATCTGCAGTTAGAATCTCTGCATTATTCTTCATGGTATAGAAGCTGCTGGAGCTGTGACAATGTAAAACAACATAAAAAATTACTTCAGAAAACCTGTACATAGGCAGTTCTCAGCAGATCTTACAACTGTTCGTTCATGGCCATGTTATCCTTTTTTATAAAAAGGGTTAATTAAAGAAATATAGCTGCATTTATTGCAGTAGATGTTGCCAACTAGATAAAACCTTGGAATGCTAAGTTCTTTGGGAACAGCCTAACAAGTCCTTGATCTTGCATTCCAAAACATTTTGCAGGTTGTTGTTATTGCTGCTCTTTTTAGCCCTACGGGAAACCTGAGAATTATGTAACTTGTCATTGAGATTTAACATATGTTTATTGATGTTGACATTCTTTAAAGCACAGTGACAATTCATCCCCTAATTTGTAGTATTTAATTAGGATTTGGAAGAAATGTATGCTAATAAAAAATACACAGTAACAGAACAACTGGTGGTTATTTGAAAGATACTTTTAATCTTATCTGGTGTATAATATTCCAAAGAATACGGTGGTGTTATTTCTTGACTTGATTGCAGAAAGAGGGTTGTAATCAAATGAAAATGATTAAGGTATAATATTTTACAAGTATTGTAAATACAAAAGCAAAAGTGCCTCTCTATATGAATGAGTAACAGATTGTTTTAATGTAGCAATGTATGGAAGCAGTGTTTCACTTCAGAAAACAATATTTGTACTGACAAATGAAGCTTTGGTGTTTTTCAGCTTACCTGGGTTTGGCCCTGTGTTTTGCCGATACATCAGAAGAGTACAGTTTTATGTGGGAAATTATATTGAATGTTTTCAAGCAGAATTTTTTTTGTGGTGTATCTTCATTTAATTGTATCAGCAGTATTCAAAAAAGCATTAATTTTTTGTAATCAGATTATGTACTAAATGTATGTGCATATGTATTCTAAGATAGGTGGTTTGCTTTGAAATGAACTATAATGTGATAACACTTTTGTCGTCTTCTTCTGTTTTAAAGTAAAACAAAACTCACCCACTTGGATAAATTAGCCATTAATGCTTATGAATCCTTATGTCAAATATTCTTATTTTCCCCTTAAACGTCCAG